TAAGCACTCACCCCTACGGTTTGTGTCCGAGCTGCCCCACTCTACATTGTGGGCGTTCGCATCGCAGCCGAGAATCGCCGGAAGTCGTTTCCTGCGGCAAAATTCCAGCAGCTGCTGTACCTCAAGAGGCGGCACGTTGGCGTTGTCCCCCGGAAAGTAGGCTGCAGCCAAGACCACCTCCAGTTCCTTCCCGTTGACCCTTAAGGCCGCTTGGACCGCTACCAGATCCTGTGTAAGAAATTCTGTAATGCGAAAGTAATTAATATTATTCTTTAGCACTACGCACGCTCTGGGCCTCTCGCAGGAAAGGTCCCAAATTACCTTATTGTTGTTATGATTGAGGCCCCTCACCTGGCCTCTGTAGGTCCACGGTTCCTGTATCAGTAGGATTTCCAGGTCCTCCGTGGCAAACCTGCTTGCAATGATCGCCGAGGCGGCCACCGCATGATGCAAGTTGACCTGGGCTACTGTTAGCGCTGTTGGGCTCATAGTTGGGGCTCGTCCTCGATGTTCGAGAGCCGTGCCTCACCCTCGCCCTCTCTGTCGGGTTCGAGCCTGCCTATGTCCGCTAGGAGCTCCTGTGTGGTGCGCACGTAGTCAGTGGCACTTGGCCCGGGAGCACTCACAAGAGCTGGTGCCTGTGCTAATTCCGGTAGCTGATCTTCCAGTGGGGCCGTGGTCGACTCGTTCGCTGGGGCAGCAGTGGAGTCAGAAGCCTCGTCGACTTGCATGTCTTGGGACTCTGACTCCTTGCTGCCTGTCGTCTTATGCCGCCATGGCCGCACCGTAACATAACTATAACGGAAGTTGATTGTGAATCCGGCCCTCTTGATGCTGACATACGACGCCTCATCGATCCCCAGGTTGAGCCTGAGACCGTTGTCTTCGGCGCCGCATGAAACCACCTTCCACGCAGCCGTGTGGATGTCCTCATTCTGGGCCTTGATGAGCCCCAGCACGTACTCAGCCGGGATATCCTCCCCCCTCTTGGTACATAACGCGGGCCCCTCCCATCCCTCAATGTTTGGTGCCTTATCTACCAGCCATGCTGCGGTCCGCTCATCCTTGCAGTCCACAAGGAGCATGCCTGACCTGAAAGATACCCCACAAAAGACCAGTGCGTGCTTCCACCCTTTAAGGACCTCATCCATGATGGCGTCCTGGAGTTTGGTCAGGTCCTCAGGGCTTAGGGCAGCAGCAGGGTAATCACGGGGCAGTACAGCCACCCGGATGCCTTTAAGAGCATCCGAATAGCTAGGCTGCTTACTGACTCCCTCCTGTGGCTGACCCTGGCCCGCGGACCCATCCAAGCCCCTAGGCTCTGTTGGAGGGGGTGGGAGCCCCCGTGGCCGTTTGGGGACGGTGGCTCAGGTGGTGTGACCTGTAGGCTGGTGCGTTTTGGAGTAGCTGTTGTTGAGCCTGTTATGGTACCTGTGGGTTCCCTGCTTCTCTGCTTTTCAGCAGGCGCGGGTTTCTGATGCTGTTGCCCGCTTCTCTGCTTTTCAGCAGGCGCGGGTCTCTGCTGCTGTTGCCCGCTTCTCTGCTTTTCAGCAAGCGCGGGTCTCTGATGCTGTTGCCCGCTTCTCTGCTTTTCAGCAGGCGCGGGTAGTTCAGCTCTCTGCTGCATACCAGCGGTTGCAGCCGTCTTACCACTCTCTTGTGCCTCTTTCTCCACCTCTTGTCTTACTTCCGCCATTGCGCGGGCTACGCTCGGCTTCTTCCCCTGCTCCAGGTACCGGAGATACCACTTGACTCCCGACCCACCAAGACCAGCTCGATGGTGGTCGTCAAGGGCTCCCGGTTGACCGGAGGACGGAAGTGGAGGCGGTCTACACCTGCGGCTTCTCTTCTTGCTGTCTTGCAGCTGCCACCCTGACTCGAGCGATGAGGTTCGACTAGGAGACCTGCGGTGCCTACTGCTAGAGCGGTGGCCACTGCCGGAGCGATGCCTGCTCTTCGAGCGATGCCGACCCTCGGATCGGCCTCGGCTCCCAGAGCGGTCATGGCTCCCGAAGCGGTCACGACTCCTGGAGCGACGCCGACTGGCCTCCCGGTTCCTGCTTGGAGATCGGTGCCTATTTTTTGAGGCCAGAGCCTCTGCTCCCTTGGTGCCCTCCGACCGAAGCTGCGCCCGATCCACGCCGCCACTGCTAGTGCTTGGCCTCATCTTCTCTGGCGTGTTCAATAAAAAGGGCAGCCTCCTCCTCGGATAGGCTCGCAAGAAAGCCTCCCCTGCGCCTGGTGCCTTTAGTTTCGCCCAGCATAGTACTGCCGAGCTTGGCCGTTGGTACCTTTGGTGCCATTGACATAACTATCTTCGTGGCTGCTGCTGCTGTTGTAGCTGTAGTTGTGACCAGGGTTGCCACTTTGGTAAATTATTACCAAAATTGGTAGAAAACATTCGGGTTGGTAAGAAGGTAAATTTTTTCTCATTTTGGTAGATTTTTGTTAAAGTATTTTTATTGAACTTTAAAACTTTTCGTTCTCGCTTTATTTTTTGTAATTATCTTTTTATTTTAAATTTCTTTCTAAAAGTATAATCTACTTAATTGCATTATTTTTCTAACGCTTTCGATAAAAGGCGAATATATCGTGTTCTATTCAAAACTCATTTTGCTGGAATCTTGAGGAGCTTTTGATTGCTAAATATTTTAAATGATTCTTAAAATAAAAATAAAAAATGAAAAGGCACGTAATTACGCACTATGATTGTTCGCAAAAAAAATTTAAAACGCTGGTTTTATAAATGGCAGTTTTTAAATTAAAAAAGAAAAAAATGCACAAAAGTCCGGTGGCAAAAAAATTAAAATCAACAGGTGCACATTGTTGGTTAAACTAAAATTCAATGGACAAAAAACTGTAAACCCAAAAATGTTTTCAAAATTCAGAGAGAAAAGTTCTTAAATTCTTCTAAATGTGGTATATACATAGCTTAAATCCTTGATTTTTATGATTTTCGTTAAAGCGCAAACAATATTCTTTTACAAAAATAAAATTACAAAATTTTTAGCTGAAAAACATGGTAAATATTATAAAAAAAAATCACCAAGCGATTTTTGAGTCACTGTATTTGTCTATAATAACTCCAGTTGTAGTGTTTTCAAATGATGGAGTTTCGTTGTTGCCTTTAGTTTTATCATTTTTGCTTTAAGTTTAAGTTGAAGGAAACCGAGAAGATGTCATTAATATGACCTCAAATACAATATCATTGGTTAAAGAAAAATTACTTACTAAAATTTTTTTTTTGAAATAACTAAACAAAGAACAAATCTATAGTTTTTATTAAAATAACTAAAAAAGTTTTTGGTTGATATTTTCCAGATTTGGTAGATTTTTTTTAAATAGATGGTAAGTATTTATTTTCGTCAGTGGCAACCCTGGTTGTGACTGTTGTAGAAGCTGTTGCTGATGTTGTGGCTGAATAACTCAGTGAGAGGGGAGACCAGTATGTTTGCATGTATGTATTTAAAAAAAATATTTATTGGACCATAAAGTAGTGGGTAGGCACTGTGGCCAATGGTAATCAACTATTACCACCTCCGCATGGTTGTAAGCCATGCAGAGTCCGCAGAAGACTCCGGAAGCAGTGTCCGGAGGATGCATCAGACTAGGCCGAGCATACTTTGAACTGCCATCAAATTATAACTTAAGAAAGTTTTATTACATGGCAGTTGAGAAGTGCATGTACATAAATTTCATTAATTTAATGAAGGAAATTTTTGCACATGCAGCAGTACATAACATGCATTTAGACGCCTGGTGTTAGCAGTCGCGTCTAAACAGTGGCTATTGCAGCTGTTGTGGCTGTAGCTGTAGCTGTTTTCGCGGATTTCGCGTTGGTTTTTGTTGTTTTTGTGTTTTTATGGTTTTTAGTTGTATTCATCTTGTTCGTACGACTGCCAGCTCGGCTAGGCAAGCTCAGCAGTCAAAGTTGTAAAAGGGGATCTCATCTGGTCCGCCGCGCCAGCGCCCCATGTCGCGGTAAGGCCACCGTTACTCCTCGATGCGGCCCGGTGTCGAAGAGGCGCCGTTATATTACAGCCGGTTTATTCCCTCCTGGCTGCAAACCGTCCAATAGGCACGGTCTCGCGTAACACCCTGGATTAGGAGGTGGCAGTTCTTGGTCACCGTTTGCCGGCAGCCCCAATCTGGAGACAAGGTAGCGCAGAAGCGACGAGCGCGTCCACGATACCCCAGACCAGAGATGGGCTGATCGGCAATTCAGCTAAGCCCCCGCACCAACGACAAGGTGCCTGCCATAGCGAGGGAATATGTACATATGTATGCATGCATGTACATACATATATATGCTAATATAATGTGGAGCATTGGTGAAAATTTATCAAAAACGATATGTACAGCAAAAATACGAATTCAGTCTAATTATGTATGTACAATGAATATGGTAGGAAACCGTAATAATAATAATTTTGGTCTTTTTTTATCTTCACCTATTTAACTTGTCTATTGTCTGGCGACCGCTGGTGTAGTGGTTAGCAGTGCGCGCTTCCATTCCGCAGGGCCTGGTTCAACCCAACATCAAAAAATAAAAAAATAAAGAACACAGTTTTGTTTTTTTTCTAACAGCGGTCACTCCTGGGGAGGCAATGGCAAACCTCCGAGTGTATTTCTGCCATGAAAAACAGCTTCTCATAAAAATATAATCGCTGTTCGGAGGCGGCGTAAAACTGTAGCTTCCTCCCCTTTATGTGACAACACCAAGGCGCACGCCACAAATTGGAGGAGAAGCTCGGCCTAACACTAGCAAATGTGCAAGGGCAAATTATTATTATTATTTAACTTATCCAAATATGTAGTTCAATTAAAGGCGAATTTGATAAGGTAGTGTTGGGGCGACAGCTGAATTTTTCGCCGTAAAAAGCATGACATCAAAATGATGTGTTTGTTGTAATTCATACTGTCATTGTGCGTATAATTTGTGAGTGTAATTTTTTACTTATATACTTATATATTTTATTAAATGTACATTGATGGTAAATTTTTTTCTTCAAGATGCATCCAATTCAGCGAATAATTTATGCGTTTGGTCATCGTACCTTTTCCATGCCTATACTTACAAAGAAGCCCTCAAGCGGTTCCATAATGGCATCTTTGATAAATGTGCGCGAAAATTCCTCGTTTGTGCTGGCTCCTGAGTCATCTGATAAGGGTATGATTATTCTGAACCGACCTAACGCTTTAAACGCACTTAATTTAGATATGACAAGAAAAATATATAAACACTTGAAAAAATGTGAATTGTCGAAATTAATGGTAATAATCAAAGGCGCTGGAGGAAAGGCATTTTGTGCCGGTGGCGATGTACGATCCATAGTCGAAGCAGGGCCTACTGAGGAATCTAAGGCTTTTTTCCGAGAAGAATATACATTAAATGCATTAATTGGCAATTACATTATACCGTACATTGCTATTATGGATGGCATTACCATGGGTGGTGGTGTTGGCCTCTCTGTTCATGGGAAATACCGTATTGCAACTGAACGTACACTTCTCGCTATGCCCGAAACCGCTATCGGTCTTTTCCCGGACGTAGGTGGTTCTTATTTCCTGCCGCGGCTACAGGGAAAACTTGGACTCTTCCTTGGGCTGACTGGGTTTAGACTGAAAGGAGATGATGTATTGAAAGCGGGAATAGCAACGCACTATTGTGAGAGTACGAAACTAGGAGATTTACAAAATGATCTGCTTAATTGTAAAGATGCAGATATAGTACCCAATATCCTTGAAAAGTATAACTCACCCTCTAAAAATGATTTCATTCTGAACGCAGTCATGGATAAAATAAATAAATGTTTCACAGCTAATTCTGTTGAGGAAATTGTTGAAAATCTGAAAAGGGATGGAAGCGATTGGTCCAACAAGACTCTTGAGGTAAGTCTTTAAAAACTGAAATTTATGTATGTACATTAAAGTGGTCCAAAAATGTATGTAAAAAAAAATAAGGTCGAATTTTTAATGCCGCCACCCCCTAGGATTGTTATATAGAATTCTTTAAAATCAATATTTTTCGATCGGAAAACTTTACTCATCTTCAGGAGATTCCCAGTAATAATACTCAATTGTTTCTTTAACAATTTTTTCATGGTAACTATATTTTATAGGTCCTCCAAAGCCCTTAGAAAATGCAATGGGGGACCAATAAAAAATCTTAATCATAAAATCATCATAAAAAATGGGTAAATAAACAATTGGATATTAATACTGGAAGTCTCTTGAAGAGACCCACAGTTTTCCGGTCGAAAAATATTGATTTTCAAGAGTTTTATACCATTTCTACGAAAAATCGTTTTTTCTCCATATAAAATACATGGAAAACTTTGAGCGCTTTGAGCACTCCCTAAATATTTTTTGATTTCAAAATAAAAAAATAGGGGTATATTTTTTCGATATAGATCAATCCTAGGGTGTGCCGGCATTAAAACTCCGACTTTATTTTTTTGGACCACTCTGATGCACATTAGGGTGTCCCATAAAATTTCGTTTGAGAAATTTGATACACTTACCATCCAAACTTTTTCGTTTTGAACTAAATAACATATCGAGCCCTAATCGCCAAAAATATGTAAGCGACATTTTTTTCAAAATTTTATTTTTGACGCAGAAATAAATCTACACCTTTTCCAGTTGGATTTTGGAAGGCGTCAATTGGATTTTAGAATAGTCAATTGTATTTTAGAAAGCGTAAATTGGACTTTAGAATAGTCAACTGGATTTTAGAAAGGGCCATATGGATTTTAGAATAGTCAACTGGATTTTAGAAACGATCAATTGGATTTTAGAATAGTCAACTGGATTTTAGAAAGAGTCAATTGGATTTGAGAATTGTCAATTGGATTTGAGAAAGTGTAAATTGGATTTTAGAAAGCGTTAATTGGATTTTTTAATGATTCATACACTATGCTATGCATATGATTATGTAGTTTCAAATATTGCTGAAGTATCAGGTTATAACTACTTTTTATTAAGTTTTAACAATATAATATATATTAAAGTTAAACAACAGGTTACATTTAGGAATATACGATCTGTATGAAGTATAAAAGAAAGCGGATAATGAAGACGTGAGCGGAATATTAAAATTATGTAGAATAATGTATATAAAAAGAATATAGGTGCACAGGAGTGAAATGTAATGTAATAGTAATGAGTAATGTAAATTGGAAGAGCAAGACAATAGTATATGTAACAAAATTCCATGTTTTACATACTTGGAAGAAATAAAATGCCTTTTAAAAAAATTTTATTCACCAGCTCTCATATCTCGTTTGGCTATTGCATCCGCATAGAAAGTAGTACTGTTCGCTTAAAAGTGAATATTTTACATAGAAAAATTTGCATTGACAAATACCGCACATAAGAAAAAACTGGCTACTTCAAAATTTTTGTAGAAAGTTCTAAAATTCACTTTACATTTTCTAAAATCCAATTTACGCTTTCTAAAATCCAGTTGACTATTCTAAAATCCAATTTACGTTTTCTAAAGTCCAGTTGAGTATTCTGAAAGCCAATTTACGCTTTCTAAAATCCAGTTGACTATTCTAAAATCCAATTGACTCTTTCTAACATCCAATTGACTCTTTCTAAAATCCAACTGGAAATGGTGTAGATGCTGTAGAAACATTTATGCTGGCTTAGTCATGTACGACTAGACAGAAACGCTCAGGGGTGTACCTCAACATCCACAAAATCAAAATACCCAAATTCAAAATCCCCAAACACAAAATCTTCATTTTTTGTGTGAAATACAATGAGAAAATTTGGATGTATTTCAGACAGAAAAAGTGAATTTTATATTAGACATTATTTCTCTAATTAAAATTCAAAACAAATTGTATGATGAATTCACAAATATTTATCGCAATAACTTATGAATATATTTTGCATGAATTTACATAAACACAAGCTTCATTGTTCAAGACATTTATGTACATAAACCATAAAAGGAAAATTACAATACTAGAGTTCGCTCTTTGATGCGAAAATGCGAAAGACAAAACTGAGCGCTTTGTTTTGCAAAGTGTAGTTGCTTTGGCTGCGAAATTTCACAAACAGTTCAGCTTAACTGCCGACTGATGTGCGAACAGGGCATGAATCACGTAACTTTGAAACGATAGTCGTTCAAACGATACTGACAAAACGATGTTGTCAAAACACTGATTTATGCATTTGTGTTGCTGTTACTTGTTACTTGTTACTGTTACTGTTACGTGAAGCAAAACTCGAATCGAGTAGACGATATCGCACAAACGATCAAGCAATTTTTGATTTTTATGAAGCAAGACAATCTCGACACGATATCGTTCAGACGATTGTCGTCATACGTGATTCATGCCCAGCACAGCACAACACAGTTCTCTCGCTCTTTGCATTTCAAAGCCTTATTCTGTATCACGAACGATAGGCAACACGAACGATTCGTCTGCAGACGACAACATCGCTAATTGTGATTTTATTACTCTATCGGTCTTCTTCGTCTTGCTTTTCATATATTACGTTGCAATGGTAAGGACACGATATCGAACGGAAAGTATCGATATGATACTCATTTAAAGTATCGCTGTAAAAATATCGGGTACCCATTAATATCGGAATAAAAAGATTCCATATCCCAAATATCGATGCCAAAATAAAAAAAAAAATTCTCAACATTGGTGTCGTATGAAGGCTGCTGTGGTGTAGTGACTAGAAGTGTGCAAACCTCCGAGTGTATTTCTGCCAAGGAAAACAGCTTCTCATAAAAAAATACAATCGCCGTTTAGAGTGGCGTAAGGCACAACACCACGGCCACGCACCAAATCGGAGGAGAAGCTCGGCCAAACACTAACATATTGTGTAAACGCCAATCTATTATTATTTTTACACGTAGAGATGTTGACTTAAAACACCGAGGCCGTGGGTTCAAATCCCGCTACATGCAATCTAAACTATAGTACAAATTTCTCTTCTTTAAAGCCCAATTTATATCGGGAAGAATTGTCAGTCACATGCAGCTTCATTTCGTAAGTCGTGAATTAGGCTAAATTGTACGACTCGACAACATTGGCATTGTCTACTGTCGTGCCGAAATAAGTAAACGACGAAAAGCGTCAGAAACTATACAGTGCTGCCAAGTTTTTCCGTTTTAATACAAATTTTAGGCAATGACGTGAAATTATCGATATGATTCGACCCTCGAAAAACGACTTGCATTCTACACGACTCTCGCAATGAGGGTGATTATCTTATTAATTTGAGTTTTAGACATTCGATACGATACCAGGGTTCTGGTACTCGATTCCAAAACATATCGCTTTAAAACTATCGTGTAAAAAATATTGGTATAGAATGCCAAAAGTATCGATATGGTATCGTATCGTATCGAAATTCGTGTCCCTATGCAATGGTTTCGGTTGCCGCCGGACTAATTTTTTAAGCATTTCTCTGCAGACGAATCGTTCGTGTTGCCTATCGTTCATGATACAGAATAAGGCTGCCAGTCAGGGTTTTAGCTGTGCGTTTGTGCGAAACTTAAAGTGCGAAACGTTGCCATATGTTTGTTTAAAAAGCTGTAGAATATTTCACATTTTTCCACTTTCGCTCAAATGCACACATTTTGCATTAAAGGGTGAACTCTAGTAACATTTCTTTATCGAAATAGTTTTAAGCAAAAGATGAAAGGGGAAAAACAAATTTTAATTGCAAAGTGAATTATTTTGGGATATAGATCTCAAATAAGTTACATATATGCAAGTGCAAATAGCGAAATAATTAGTGATAACGTAACGGTGCAAGTTCTATGTGCATTGTATATATATACACTGCCGAAAGAAAGTATTGGCACAGCAAATTTTTCAAAATATATGCAACAATTTCCATTATAATATTTTTCCGCAAATTGGTTCATTCTACAACAAAAATTATAAAAGTATAATTCCTAAACTTTGTGCAAAACTCCCGAAAATTCAGCAAATTTTCATCAAAATCTTCAACCTTTTAATCAGATTTTTTAGAATTTTTTTGAGTATGCAGTTTGCAGCCGATTAAATTCTAGTAAAAAATTACTCAAAAATCGCGTTGATTTTTGAAATTTTTTTGTTGAAGGAGTTTTGCATTTTTTCCATATAAAGTATTTTCGAAAAAAAATTTCTGTATGGAAGATACTGCGTGAAAATATGTAAATATTATAAAAAATGGATGTATTTATTGTCATAAATTGAAAATATGTATGACGGGTTTTACACGGTGCAAGTCATGGTGAAATTGTACCAGGTGAAGTAATAAGAGCGAGAAGAAGGATTTTGTATTGATTCTGCACTATCTTATTTGAAAATTTGCCTTTTTTTTATAAACCAGCCGATTGACAGAAAATAAATGTTTGCACCAAGTATTGAATTCAATTCTGCTTGCAACTGGAAGAGAGGGGTGAGAAGGGAAGAGTACACATTCGCCTGTACTGTCAAGGCGTTTCAAGTTTCAAGTTTCTTGTTTTGCTTTTTACATTTTCGTTGTTTCCCAAGAACGAAAAACTTGAATTCAAAACAAGTTAAAGTCTCAAGTTCGAGCAGAGCCGAATATTAAATACCCCGCGCAAGTAGATGTGGGCGTGGTTATTGTCCGATTTTGAGATACACATACAGCGAACCAAATAAAAACTGGGACGGGACTTTTTAGTAAGTTTTGGCTATTTTTATACATTTTATTTAACGTTTACTATTTTTTTAAGAAATTATAGCTGGTTAATTAACAAACATGAAATAAATCCAAATTTCAGACTTTGTGCAAAAGTCATGAAAATTTTGCAAAGTTTGACCAAATCCTCTAATGTCTTGATCAGCATCTTTAGACAAAATTTTGGTATTAAGCTTTGTAGCCCATTAAATTTTAGCAAGCAA